GGCGGTGAAGGGGCTGCCCGCGATGTGCCAGTGACCCCAGGTCAGGTTTTTAGGGGTTTTTTGGGGTTTCTGTGTGTTTTTGCTCATTTTTTCAGAGTTTATTTTTAATTTTTTCAGGGTTTTTTTCATTTTTTGGTTGTTTTGTCCCCAATTTTGGGTTTCTCACCCGTGATGCGGGCGGTGAAGGGGCTGCCCGCGATGTGCCAGTGACCCCAGGTCAGGTTTTTAGGGGTTTTTTGGGGTTTCTGTGTGTTTTTGCTCATTTTTTCAGAGTTTATTTTTAATTTTTTCAGGGTTTTTTTCATTTTTTGGTTGTTTTGTCCCCAATTTTGGGTTTCTCACCCGTGATGCGGGCGGTGAAGGGGCTGCCCGCGATGTGCTTGTCGTTGTACTTGACCACGATGCCGTAGTCGCCGGGCAGCACGGGCAGGTAGGACACGGAGCAGGTGCCATCGCCGTTGTCCTGGCAGCTGATCTCGGCCTTGGAGGGACCCTCCACGGCCAGCGACAGCCCCCCTGGGGACACGGGGACAATGACACGGTCAGGGACAGCCCCCCTGGGGACACGGGCACAATGACGGGCACAGGAGACAGAGAGCAGGTGCCATCGCCGTTGTCCTGGCAGCTGATCTCGGCCTTGGAGGGACCCTCCACGGCCAGCGACAGCCCCCCTGGGGACAGGGACAGGGACAGGGTCAGGGGACAGCCCCCCTGGGGACACGGGGACAATGACACGGTCAGGGACAGCCCCCCTGGGGACAGGGACAGGGACAGGGTCAGGGGACAGGGACAGGGTCAGGGACAGCCCCCCTGGGGACAGGGACAGGGTCAGGGGACAGGGACAGCCCCCTGGGGACAATGACATGGGGACACGGTCAGGGACAGCCTGGAACAGGGACAGTCCCCCTGGGGACACGGGGACAGTGACAGGGTCAGGGGACAGTGACAGCCCCCCTGGGGACAGGGGCACAGTCAGGGGACAGCGACAGCCCCCCTGGGGACACGGGGACAATGACACAGTCAGGGACAGCCCCCCTGGGGACAGGGACTGTGTGAGGGACAGCCTGGGGACATAGCCAGGGCCAGGGACATGGGGCCAGCTGTCCCCTGATCCTGTCATTGTCCCTTGTCCCCAGGGCGGCTGTCCCTGTTGTCCCCTGACCCCCCGCTGTCCCCACTGTCCCCACTGTCCCCAGTGTCCCCAGCTGTACCCTGACCCCCCGGTGTCCCCACTGTCCCTGCTGCTCCCAGTGTCCCTGCTGTCCCCAGCTGTCCCTGTCCCTGCCCGAGCCAGCCGTGCCAGCCGCAGGGATGGGCTCAGCTCGGTGCCCCCTCCGTGTCTGCCCAGGAACGGGATCTACCCCCTGATGAACTTCGCGGCCTCCCGGCCCCACGCGCTGCCCCGCGCCCTGTCCCAGCCCCAGGAGGACCCCCAGAAAGCCAAGACCCCCACGCCAGAGCCCTTTGATGTGGAGACCAGGAAGGTGAGGGCAGCCCGGGCCGGGAGAGGAGCTGGGGATCCCTCAGGAATTGCAGAGTGCTGCCCCGGGAGCGGGGACGGGCCCAGGCTGATCCCGGCTGGGCTTTTCCAGGTGGTGCAGATGCAGTGCAACATGGAGCTGAACGAGGACAAGAGCCAGTGGCACGTGAGTGCCTGGATCCTGCCCCGCTCCCTGGCCATCCCGTTGGGAATGGGAATGGGAAATGGAAATGGGAATGGGAAATGGGACTGGGATTGGGGCTGGGAATGGGAAATGGGACTGGGAAATGGGGCTGGGAATGGGAAATGGGACTGGGAAATCTGCCAGTGGCACGTGAGTGCCTGGATCCTGCCCTGCCCATCCCGCTGGGAATGGGGCTGGAATGGGAATGGGATGGGACTGGGATGGAAATGGGACTGGGAAATGGGAATGGGAAATGGGGCTGGGAATGGGAAATGGGGCTGGGAAATGGGGCTGGGAATGGGAAATGGGGCTGGGAATGGGAAATGGGACTGGGAAATCTGCCAGTGGCACGTGAGTGCCTGGATCCTGCTCCGCTCCCTGGCCATCCCTCTGGGAATGGGGCTGGAATGGGACTGGGACTGGGAATGGGAAATTGGAATGGGAATGGGAAATGGGGCTGGGAAATGGGGCTGGGAATGGGAGTGGGAATGGGAAATGGGAATTGGGAAATCAGACTGGGAAATCTGCCAATGGCATGTGAGTGCCTGGATCCTGGCCCGCTCCCTGCCCATCACTGAGAATGGGCTGGAATGGGACTGGGAATGGGAAATGGGACTGGGAAATAAGACTGGGAAAGGAAATGGGACTGGGAAATCAGAGCAGGAAATCTGTCAGGAAAATGGGAAAGGGAAATCTGCCTGGGATATTGGACTGGGAAGGGGTACTGGGAAGTCTGGCTGGGAAAGGCCTCAGCCAGTTTCCGTGGCACCCAGAGAACTCACTGCTGTCCTGTACAGTGAAAGAATTCCCAAAGGAGCCACAATGCCCCTGGCTTGTAGGAGCCAGAGCTGCAGTGTCTGGATTCTCTGTCCCTGGTGGTGCCAGACACCTTGGCCTCTGGTTTTCCCAGTCCAGTACTTGGAATTCCTGGAGCTGGAATTGCTCCAGGGCACCAGCAGTGCCCAGAGCTCCCAGGTCCTGCAGTGCCCAGAGCTCTCCCAGTCCCAGCAGTGCCCAGCCCTCCCAGTTCCCCCAGTTCCTCCCAGTTCCCCTAGTGCTCCCAGTTCCAGCAGTGCCCATGCCTCCCAGTTCCCCCAGAGCTCCCAGTTCCTGCCCAGCCCTCCCAGTTCCTGCCCAGCCCTCCCAGATCCCCCCGAGCTCCCAGATCCCCAGAGCTCCCAGTCCCAGCAGTGCCCAGCCCTCCCAGTTCCCCCAGTGCTCCCAGTTCCTGCTCAGCACTCCCAGTTCCCCCAGAGGTCCCAGTCCCAGCAGTGCCCAGCCCTCCCAGTTCCCCCAGTGCTCCCAGTTCCTGCCCAGCACTCCCAGTTCCTGCCCAGAGCTCCCAGTTCCTGCCCAGCCCTCCCAGATCCCCCAGAGCTCCCAGTCCCAGCAGTGCCCAGCCCTCCCAGTTCCCCCAGTGCTCCCAGTTCTTGCCCAGCCCTCCCAGTTCTTGCCCAGCCCTCCCAGATTCCCCGAGCTCCCAGTCCCAGCAGTGCCCAGCCTTCCCAGTTCCCCCAGTGCTCCCAGTTCCCCCAGTGCTCCCAGTCCCAGCAGTGCCCAGCCTTCCCAGTCCCAGCAGTGCCCAGCCTTCCCAGTTCTCCCAGCCACTCCCAGTTCCCCCAGTTCCACTTTCCTTTCCTTGAACTTTCCTTGAACTTTCCTTTCCTTGAACTTTCCTTGAACTTTCCTTTCCTTGAACTTTCCTTGAACTTTCCTTTCCTTGAACTTTCCTTTCCTTTCCTTGAACTTTCCTTTCCTTTCCTTGAACTTTCCTTTCCTTGAACTTTCCTTGAACTTTCCTTTCCTTGAACTTTCCTTTCCTTTCCTTGAACTTTCCTTTCCTTTCCTTGAACTTTCCTTTCCTTGAACTTTCCTCTCCTTGAACTTTCCTCTCCTTGAACTTCCCTTGAACTTTCCTTTCCTGGAACTTTCCTTTCCTCTTTCCTGGAACTTTCCTTTCCTCTTTCCCGGAACTTTCCACTTTCCTGGCACTTTCCCCTTCCCTTTCCTGGAACTTTCCCATTTCCTTTCCCGGCACTTTCCCATTTCCTTTCCCGGCACTTTCCCATTTCCTTTCCCGGCACTTTCCCATTTCCTTTCCCGGCACTTTCCCATTTCCTTTCCCGGCACTTTCCCCTTTCCTTTCCCGGCACTTTCCCCTTTCCTTTCCCGGCACTTTCCCCTTTCCTTTCCCGGCACTTTCCCCTTTCCTTTCCCGGCACTTTCCCATTTCCTTTCCCGACACTTTCCCATTTCCTTTCCCATTTCCTTTCCCGGCACTTTCCCCTTTCCTTTCCCGGCACTTTCCCATTTCCTTTCCCGGCACTTTCCCATTTCCTTTCCCGGCACTTTCCCCCATTTCCTTTCCCGGCACTTTCCCATTTCCTTTCCCGGCACTTTCCCCTTTCCTTTCCCGGCACTTTCCCCTTCCCTTTCCCGGCACTTTCCCATTTCCTTTCCCGGCACTTTCCCATTTCCTTTCCCGGCACTTTCCCATTTCCTTTCCCGGCACTTTCCCCTTTCCTTTCCCGGCAC